AGAGACCGCCCAGGTCAGAGCCCAGTACCCATCCTACCTTACCCCTACCCCTGCACACACACACACCCTACCACCCCTGCTCGCATACAACTCCCCACCCCACACACACACACACACACGAAGCTCACTCATGCCTACACACACAAAGCTCACGCTCATACCTCATGCGGCTCCCTACCATCAGTCCCCTTCCCACCCTTCCCCACCCACATGCCAGCTCCTGTCTCCCCAGCACACAACCATGATTTGCAGCAATAAAAACTGAGCACCAAGTGAAGGGTTACGAGCCCCAAGGCAAAGGTCATAGCCCAGGGGATGATGGGGAGAGGGGCATCCAGGGCATGTGCCCAACCCCGAATGCACCCATCCCACCCGCCCAAAGCTGGGCCCCCCCCGGGCCAGAGAAGCACAGCACTGCAAGCATCTCCTTCCAAGTCCATCTGGGCTGGGGGCCCCAGTGCCCCACGAGCCCCACCCAGGTCCCGAGGGTCACACACCCCCCTCACGAGTCACCGATGGGCCAGGCACCTGCACGGGGAACCACCCCTACAGGGCTCCTCATGCCAGCCCACGCTGAGCCTCCTGCCCAGGCAGGGATGCTGCTTCCTCCCTCCCCCACAGCTACCTCGGCACCCGGCCTCGGCCCCCCTTCTGTTTCTTGGCACCTGCCGGGGTCTTGATGGGCAGGGGTGCTGTGCCCTCTGCGGGGGGCAGAGGCAGTGTGGACCCCAGCTCCATGGGCTCTGTGGTGGGGCTGGGCTTGAAGGCCTCAAAGGGAGAGAACTTCACAGGGCTGAAAGGAAGTAAGAAACAGGGAAATGAGACTCCAGGAGGCCAAGAAGAGATGGACCCCAAACTACTCAACCAATAAGATCCCCTCTGCCCCAGCCCACAAAAGGCACTGGACTTAAGTGCCCCTACCCCATTCCCCACTACCAAGTCTGCTACTCCTGGCCCCCCGCTCTGGGGTGGATGGGAGCTGGTGCCTCCTACAAGGCAAGATGTGCTTGAAGACAGAGCGTGGCCATGACCCCAGAGGCCATACCTTACAGGTGTCCTGGGACTGCTGTTGAGGCGGCGAGGGGAGCGCACCTTGGGCTGGAAAGAGAAGCCCTCCTTAATGCTCTCCAGCACCGATGGGGCCACATAGGTGAATCCCTGCAGGGAGACAGAACCCTGTGTCAAGGAGACACCTCAGTCACTCTGCCACCCGCACCACCTCTGCTGGGGAGGTAGGGCTGGGTAGTGTAAGCCCCTTCTCTTCCCCTGGTGTCACAGTGCCCCTGCTGGGGAAGGTGGGGCTGAGCAGTGTAAGCTACACCCACTCCCTTGAAGCACTGGATGCCTTGGGCAAAGGTCAGACTCTTTCAGCCCTCTTTTCCCAGCCTGTCCCAGCCTCTGGGGCAGACCCTACCAGGAAGGCCTGGTTGGCACTCTCGCTGATGGAGGCATCATCAGGGCTGTCCACGGGAGTCTGGCGAGTGAAACGGGTGTCGAACTGGCTGACGTCATCATCTGATTGCTGGGGGGTGGGGGGAGGGAGGAGGGTCAGTGGCAGATAGGAGGGTGGCCTGGAGGGAGGAGGGTCAGTGGCAGATAGGAGGGGGGCAGGGCACCAGCACCAGCCAAAAACCCTGCCCTCCCCTTCCAGGGTCTCCACCCTGGACTTTTATGCCTTGCACTGCTTCCCCAGACAGTTGGATCCCATCCCCTATCCTGGCTTCTCCCTGACCATGGGGATGGGAACTTCAGTACCAACTGGGGCACATTCACTTTGCCTGCTGTCCTGGATGTCTGGCTCCCTTTCTTTGTCACCCTCAGCCCCTGGCGCTGCAAGGCCTCGCTATGGACAAGAACCCTGCCCTGCTCTGCCCTGATGTCAGGGATTCCAGCCCCTCTTCTGAACTCAGCCTGCTGGGCCCAGACTTGGCAGGTGCCCTGGGCACAGTGCAATGACTGTCTTACCCACTGGAGTGCAGGACTGTAATCAGGCAAGGCCCACTTCAGCCATGCACTGACCCTGTCCTGGCAGTCAGTGAGGGAGCAGGGCAAGGGAGTAGGGCAGTACCAGGCAGGGCTTGAAGGGTGGGTCCAACTTCCGTGCCAGCAGGTCATCCCAATTGACGTGCCGGAAGAATGGCTGTTTCTGCGGGGACAGAGGCACAGGCAGGAGGTCAGAGGGAGCATCGGGCCTAGCAGCCCCCAATCCCAGTGGTGGAGAGGTACCAAGCACCCTCCCCAGGGTTCCTCATGCAGACATCTGGTGGGGTGAAGCTCCCTGTCCTCTGCTCAAACACACATCCCATGCCAGGGGTGGGGAGGCTGCCTGCTGGGCCCCAAATTTGTATCTCAGCCCCAAGCAACAAATGGACCTCTTTGGGAAGCTGCATGCCATGCTTGCACCCCTACTCCAGAGAACACCTTTGGGAAGCTGCATGCCATGCTTGCACCCTTTCTCCAGAGAACCCCCCCCACCTCTGTCTACCTGCACATCAGCCGCATCGCCTGCCCCTCCCCCGATTCTTTGGCCGGGGTTTCTCTTGAGGAACTAGAAGAGATGGAGAATAAGTGAGAGCATGGTGCAAGTGGATCCCAACTCCCTCCTTCATCCCCTCCACATACAGCTGGTTGTGGCCATAGCCATTTTGGTGCGACCCCCACCCCCCTACAAACCCCCAAAGATGGCACTTAGCCTGGTTCTGTTTCAAGCAGGCTGCTGAGCTGGGGTCAGCCATTTCAAGGCCAGAAGCACCAGACTGGGGGTCATGAGAGCAATCTGGGCAACACTAGTGGGGGGGGCAGGGGGCACAAGTGGTACCTTCTTGAGCAGGTCACGGGCATCAGGGGTCAGGTAGGGTGGCAGGACCAGCTTGCCCTTCAGGATCTTGTCAATGGTTTTCTTTCGGTTCTCTGCAGTAAAGGGCGGCTGTAAAGGAAGTGTGGACGGGGCTGAGCGCAGGCATGGGAGGGGGCCCAGATGTGGGGGCGAAGAGGAAAAAATGAAGGTCCAGGTCAGGGCTCAGCTCAGCACTGGGACAAGGGAACTGGAGGGGGTTTAAAATGGAAGCCTGGATGGAGGGCACAGAATGAAGCACGGGGAGCCAGGGGACTGCATGGGGTTGCATGGGAAGACTGTAGCAAAGGGTGGCGGGGCACCATGCCAGGCTGGGCCAAGGCACCTTCCCACTGAGCGTGCTCCCACCCACACAGCTTGGTGTGTCCATCTCCCCCACTGGCCACGCCCCCCCCCACCAGGTAACAGCACGAGCAGGACTTGCCGATCCAGTGAGCATGTCATACATCAAGGCCCCAAGGCTCCACCAATCCACAGCACGGTTATGCCCGCTCCGCACCAGGATCTCTGGAGCCCTAGGGACGGGCAAATCTACCCTGAGCCACTGACCCACTGAGAGTCGGGACAGGGGCAAATCTCTGGGAGGAGGCTGCAGGGGAAGCAGGGGGGTTAGGGCACGGCTCACTGTCACCTACATGTACTCAATGGTGCCACAGAAAGTATGGGTGACAGCTCCATCATGGATGGACTCCTTGCACAGCCCAAAGTCCGTCAATTTGATGTGCCCTTTAGGAGAGGAGAAAAGAGCTCAAACATCAGACCCTGAAACACTGGACATTTCCTGGTGAAACTCAGGCCCAGGCACTTTCTCCCCCAGTGCACGGAGCTGTACCTTGGCTATTCAACATGATGTTCTCTGGCTTGAGGTCCCGGTAGATGATCCCATTGGAGTGGAGGTGGCCCAGGGCCAGCGTGATCTCACTTAGGTAGAAGCTAGGGCATACATGTGTAGGTGTTAATATGGGCCCTAAAGCAGGGAGGTGCTGCAGGGAGGGCACAGTTCCAGCCACTGCTAGCAGGGGTTGCCTGTAGACATCGCCCAAACCTGTATACTGAGGTTTTACCTCAGCAAGGAGGTTTTACCTCCTTAGCAGGGAGAGGTGCCAACCCCTTGGACAACCCTCAGCTGTCTTCTCGGATGTTGTATTCAATACCAGCACCCAGGTGGCTTCAAAGGCCCCTGCCCAACATGATGTTTGCACAATGCAATCATATTGTGTGCCAAGTCTGACAGGGGACATGGATGGGCCAAGGGCAGAGCAGCCACCTGGCTGAAGAGGGAGCTGGGGGGATGTTTTCCAAATGAGAGTCACAGCACAGCTGACAAGAGCTCCTGGCTACTCCAGCCCCAGCCTCTCCTACCGGGGGACAATGTGCAGAGTGGGGCAGGAGCAAGGGTTGTGAGGGAGAGCCTAGCTACCCCAGCCCCAGCCTTCCCCTCAGACTCCAGTGCCTTTCACTAACCATGCTGTGTCCTCCAGGAAGATGCCCTCCCGTTCCAGCTGCATGAAGAGTTCTCCGCCTGCAAATACACACAGGAGGGGAGGACACAGCAAAGTGCATGAACCTTACAGATGCATCCCAGCTCCTGCCCTACACATTCCACCTCCAGAGTGGACGGAGGCAAGCTGGGGCCAGCTCTTTCTGGATCCCAAGCCATTAATTGCCTTGGGGAGCACCAGGCTCCAATGGGGTACCAACATACTGCTCAGCGCTACCCTCACCCCTGGCCCTAGTCCCATCCTACATACCACTCAGGCACTCCAGGATGAGGTAGAGCTTGCCGCCTGTCTGGAAGGCGTAGATCAGGTCCACGATGAAGGGGTGCTTGATGGCCTCTAGGATGTTCCTCTCGGCCTTGGTGTGAGCCGTGTCCTTGGCATTGCAGGCAATCTTAGCCTGGAGAGAGACAGTCACACAAAGAGCGGCTTTAGGAGGCCAACAGGGGGCACTCCTGAGTTCAGTGACAGCAAGGCAAAGGCTGGCAACATAGTCACCTTCTTCAAGACCTTCATGGCAAAGATTCTCCCTGCATTTGTGCCCTGCACTTTCCGCACCTGGAAGACCTGCCGGGAAACAGAGGCCATGAGAGCACGCACAGCACGGGCAGGCATGGAGCTCCATCCCCTGCCAGCATCAGGTGGGCCACTCCCGACTACTCTCCCTGCACATGTAAGCACCACACGGTGCTTGCACAGTGCTTCGTGGGAGCTGTAGTTTGGGGGCAAGGGGCCTGGCTCCCATTCTGCTGTGTGAGCTTAACTCCCCAGCTGGACTACATCTCCTGTGCTGCACTGTGGCCACAGGACTGCCAAGAATAATGCAGCACCTCCCCTGGCCCAGAGGGTGCCTCATGGGAGCTGCAGTCCAGCTGAAGGGCTGGGTCCACAGAAGAGAATGGGGGGCCTGAGGGACCTGGACTCCAATTCCTACACGGCATTGAGGCAGCTCTGAACCCGACAGTCTGATTAGCGTGCATGCTGGACAAGACGCCCGCCCCAATGCAGCACCCCAGAACAGCCCCTGGTAAGGGTCCCAGCACTCTGCCCTGAAGCCGTAGGGCCTCTCCCACCCCCTCGGTGTCTTTCACAGTGACATCTTACTGGAAGGTGTGGGAGAAAAAAGCAGAAGTGAAACACGGTCCCTTCTCAGTGCCCTTCCCCACCTGCAGGGGAAAGAAATGGAGTAGGAGGCAGGTGTGCTTGAGGGATGGAGCCCCCTCCCCATCCGTCCCGGCCACGTGCCAGTATTATGCCATCGCCCCTACCTTGCCATAGCCACCTTTGCCCAGGACACGCAGCAGCTCGAAGCAGTGGGGGCCGATGCGCTCGGGACCATTGTTGACACTGCTCTCCGAGATCTCAATCTCTTCGTAGTGCCCCACGGGCCTGGGGGGGACGGGACAGCTCTTAGCAGGGGCAGACAGGAGGGGAGTTGCAGGGAGCTGGGGTGGGGGGCAGGCAGGGAGAGAGGGCAGCAGATGGGGGGACGGCTGGGAAGAGGGGCCAGCTCCAGGTCCTTGGGTGCCGCCAAGGCGCTGGCTCCTCCCCGTGCTGGGGAAGAAGAGCGAGGTGAGAAAAGGACCACACTGTCCCCTGTGTGACTTACTCCAGGCCATTGCCCCGCAGCTCCAAGTCCATCTCCTAGGAGAGAGGAGAAGGGAAATCAGCCTGGCACTGGCCCTGGCCCTGGCCCTGGCCCTGGCCCCTGCCCCTGCCCCAGCCCGGTACCACCAAGGTCAAGGCTGGGCTGGCAGCCGGGTGATACGGCTCCTGCAGGGCTGGCAGGGTGGGTGCAGCCGGGGTGCCCCCGACTCACCGCGCCCAACTCCGGCTCCTCCCCCTCGCTGCCCTCCTCTGTCTCCAGGTCGATGTCGAAAACCCCGGCCATGGCGGCGGCCCCAGGACCCCCCCCCGTCGCGTCACCGCCGCGCGCCGCCGGGCCTCCCGCCCCTCCCCGCTAGTGACGTCGCCCGCTGGGAAACAGGGGCAGAGCAGGGGCTGCTGGGAGGTGTAGTCCGAGCGCTTGTGGGCGGGCAGGGCGCCGCAGCGCCTGCTGAGAAATGTAGGCTGGGCGCGTGTGTGAAGGGGCCTGCGGCAAGCCTCAGGGCGTAGCCCCAGCCGGACAGGAGCCTGGGTAGACATTTGTAAGTTTTCTGCCGCTGGGCCTGGCCTGTGCAGGCGCCTGCCAGGTTGGGGCAGGAGGGCAGGGCGGGCTCGTGGTCACCATCGCCGGGTCTTTGTGCCCCTCGTGCTCTCTCCTGCATGTGTCAGGGTGTTTGCATTGGGTGTGAGCTGGGGTGTGCAGTGCTCCTGCTCAGCCCCAACTCGGAGGTTCCTGGCTAGGGTGCCTTGCCCCTCTGCTCAGGGTCAGACCAATCGTCATATTTGGGATTGGGAAGGCACTTGCCCCATGGCCAGACAGGTGTAGGCTGGGGGAGGTTCTGCCTTCCTCTGTAGCAGGGGGTGTGCCCCCTGCCTGGTATCTCTTGAGCCAATATTGACATTTCATAGAAATGGAGCGTTGGCTGCTCTGGTTCCCCTGCTTCACCCGGGGCAGGTTTGTGTGTTAGGTCTGTGTTGTACCCAGGTTGACAGGAGTCGCATGTAGAGTTTAGGTTGTGGTTGCATGGGATGATTTGGACAGGGTGAGCCTGGGTCAGGCAGAGGGTTGGGCTAGATGACCTCTGGAGGTCCCTTCCAGCCCTGCCTCTCCGTGATCCTGTGATTTCCCTCCCTCAGTGTGTCCAGCACCTGGTCAGGTAGACTCACGCCTCCAGCACCGGGGCCTGGGCTTGTCACCAGGGCACAAGCACAGCCAGGCTTTCAAGGGTGACATTAGAAAGCACCCCTTGGTGACCACAGAGCCACGGACACTTGGGAACATGCAGGCGAATGAGTGACATGTAGTCCACAGGGCTGCGGGGCCTTTCACAAGGGAGGCTGTGGCCCCCCCAGGAGCCCTCCCCCAACTGCACACTTCCCCTGTGTTCATGCCTTCCCAGCCAGCAAATTCAGGGGCAGCTCCTCTTGCCCGGCATGCCACCAGGCAGGATCTTCCCTTCAGCTCTGAATGGGCCGAGGGAGCTGGTCCAGGCACTCAGCAGGGATATAGCATGTGCAAAAATGTTCTGGCCCTGAGGGGCCACTTCTCTGTGGCTGACACCCAGAAGGTGCTGGGTAAGGGTCTTTGTGGATCGTTGCTGGTCCCATAGGGTCTGTTGGCCTGTTCTGCTCCAGCCCCCATTCCCCACATACTCTTTCTCTCCCTGATCTTTAATCTGACCCAGCCCTTCCTCCGCTGCCCTGCCCAGTGCCTGTAATCGGATCTCAGAGCTCAACTGACACATGAAACTGGGGCTGCCTGGCAAGAACAGCTGCTGTCCTCAGGAGGCCTGTTCACGTGTGTTCATGTGGGGTGGGGGGAGGGGGCAAGGGGCAAGTACATAGGCCCCTCTGCCTGCGGGGGCTGGAGACATCCCCTGCCAAGATGTGGATCAGGGAGTGGCTAACAGGCTCCAATCCCAGAGATCAGGACCCCCGGGGGGGGGGAGGGGACAGAAGTGGGGTAAAATCCTTCATCCCACCCAGTGCCAGAACCAGCATCTAGGATCCCACCTGCAGGCAATGCCCCTGCAGCTGATTAGCCTCAGGGGCTTATGGTTAGTGGGGAGGGGATGTGGGTTGAAACAGAGGTGCTAGTCCAAATTTGTTGGAAGTCACCTGGGGTCAGTGCAGTCTTCGGGTGGAAGGTGTTGGGTGCTAATGAGGCCCCTGGGTCTGGGGCAGTATGACAGGAAGGAGAGGTACCAGGCTGAAGGGGGCTGTTTTTCTTTTCTTTTTTTTTATTTCATTTCCAGGGCCAAATCAGTTCTGAATTCAGTTCCAAATTTGGCTGATCAGAGCTCAATTGTTCAAGACTGTGGTGCTCCCACCGGCAAGTATCTTCCCTCCCAGACTCATCCTCAATCTGGGGCTTCAGATACTCCCAAATCCATGGCAGGCATCCTATGTGCAAGCCCCAAGCCCAGAGGCTTTGGAATTCATATGCCCCCTAGTCTCACTTGCCTCTCACCAAAATGCCAAAGGAGCAAGCTAAAGAAAAGGCCACAAGCATCCCCCATTGCCATAAATTGCGTAGTTGAGATCCTCTCATTTGGAGGCATTTGTAGACTCTCACAAGGGTCAGCCTGCCTGCAGTGTAAGAGACAGGTCTTGACCCTTTAACTATACTTGAGTCCGTTCAAGGCCGAGAAGATGGTATGTCCCCTGCCAGGCTGGAAGGGCCTGTGAGACTGGTTCACCTCTTTTACCTACCCCACCCTGCCTGCCCCAGCACTGGTTCTCCCCAGAGCAAGTGCAGCAGCTGGATGTCTAGGTTCAATGCTTGGAGCAGGAGAAGATATGGGGTGGGGGAGAAGCAGGGTGCTAAGCCCAGACCTCCCCACAGCTCCCAGCTGGGCCCAAAGGGCAGATGTCATGCCTGAAATGTCACTGCTCCTGGGGAGCCAGCTCGACTGAGGACCTGAGTCATAAAGAGGGCAGAGGGCCCAAGGGACTGAGAAGGGGAGGGGGAGGGAAATGCCAGGGGGGGCAAGGTGTCTGAGAGGGGGCAGAGATATACCCAGCAGGAGACAGGCTGCAGAAAAAGTCAAGAAGATACCTTGGTGTGGCTGTGTTTCTGCATTGATCTGTGTGCTATATATGTAAATTATTTGCAAAACCATAGCTTATTTGCATACTAGCTTCCTCTCTGTGAGATTTGTAGCATTTATGCATTGCTGGCATTGAGTCTCTGACCTGCACCGAGCCTCACAGGGGCAATGGCCCTGCCCTGGAGGGGCTGAGGTCAGCTTGAGCCAACTCCTAGAAGTGCCTGGCAGAGGAAAACAGCTGAACAGTGGCTTGGTGCTCCCCTTGCTCCTGTCTGAACCACCCTATGCTATGACTGAGTCTTGAGTAGTCACAAGGGCCTCTAACATTGTTTCCTTCTTCCATGGCACATCAGCAGAATTTGCTCCATGGGACCTTATGCCTACAGCTCAGCCCTCAGCCTCAAGCTACAAAGGGAATAGTAGTCGTTATCCTGCGTGTGGCCTGGCCCCTCCACCAGCACAGCACACACATGCCTACTTCACCATTTGGTTGCTTCTGGCTGGCCGTAGCTCATTGTGCCACCAGCATCTGGAGTTGTGTCTGTGGCTGTGGGAGCAGAGTGGTCTCCAATGAACACAGATGGGATAGTTGGGTCCCTCCACTCACCAGAGCCATTCTGAAGGCCAATATGGCGAAGCCTCAGGTCCTGCAGGTTAGCAGGCTGCGTTTCCCTCACCTGATGTGATCTGCAGTGCACCGTCTCCAAACTGAGAGGAGGACATTGCCTCCCAGCCCTATTGGGAGGCAGAGGTATAGCAAGTTCCTTCAACACCCGGGCCAGGGCAAGGGGTGGGGGTATGCCTACCACTGGAGGGGGGGGAAAAAAGGGGAAGAGGAACAAAGTCTTACCTGCCACAGCACCCCATACAATAACGGCAAATGCTACTGTTGCCACTGCTGCTATATCAGTGTTGGCTAGGTTGGCAGCAGCCCTGTGGCATGAGTTCCCTGGGAGCTGCCTCTGCTGCCCTCCCACCTCCCCCCCCCCCCCCCCCCCATACTGTTGGGCACAGGACTGTCTGTGCATGGGTCTGAAATACACAGTGCAAACTGTGTAACGGGTTTTTAGTGTGCTTTGATCTGCCAAGTGAACCACAAAGGCTGCTTGGCGGAGTGTTGGATGTAAAGTTTCATATATATAACTTATATATATATATATATATATAAAAAAAGACTAGGTGTGCTGTGGCAAAGACTCCCAGGGGTATGGGGAGTGGTGCCATTCTGCTTGCCTCACTCGCCACTGTCCCTGCAATACACAGCTAGGTGCAGGGTTGTGCCTGCCTGCCTCCTATGGTAGGGCAGTGCAGGACTGTCCCTGCCATAGCAAAGATTCCTGGGGGGCCGGGGGCAGGAGGGGGGCATCCCACCCTGCTTCCCTCCCCAGTTCCCCAGTTTTGCCACCAGTGGGAGGCCTCAATTCCTAACAAGACCTGGGAAATGTATGAAAATATTAACAGCAGAAGAGCTGGGATCTGCTTTAGAACATTTAAGGGACCATGATATCACTTTGCCTACCTGATGTATAACTCAAGCTATATCAGTCCCCCCAAGTATGGAGCAGGGAGATGGGAACTAATGCATCTTCCAAAGAGGTGTCCACTGTTAGGACTCCAGGCTGAGAGAAAAGGACCCACCCTGTCCAGCCAGATAAGGTTATAGGGGAGCCCATTCCGCTTCCACACTGTTTTGCCATCCACATGGACATGTGAGGCAGCTGTCATATGCACAGGTGGCATGAGTGACACGTGGCAGGTAAGCCCGTGCAGGGCACTCCTCACGCACCAGCACTAACCCAGGACCCAGTGGCACCTGAGTTTCCTGGCCTGGGGGATGCCCTACTGCCACCCAGGCTACCACATCAACCCCTGTAAGGGGGAGGTGATTTGCTGCTTAAATCAACCCAGGGGTGAGCAGCCAATCACAGAGAGTCTCCAATGGTGCTTTGCCATTCAACAATAAGAACTCCAGACACTACCTCCTTCCAACCAATGGACTCAAAGATTGCAAATAAATGAGGTAGGAAAGGTGAGGTTTGGCTGAGTTCACACTTGCACTAATGCCATGGATTATTGACTGGGCTGTAATTAAAACTGGAGGGCCACGTATGACCGTCATTGATAAGAAAAAAGTGTCTTACAAGCTACTGAGGCAGGAACCAACTGTTTATTTTAACCTCAGCACAAGAGAGAAGTGGTCATCTTCATCACTATATTCCAGCTGCCTTTATCTCCAGGTAGTTCCTGGTACTAAGTGGGCTTCAGGGGCCTGCTGCAAAAAGAAGCCCACCACCGGCATCTGGGATCAACCCTAGGTCCTTCTGGTCTTTAGTTAGTAAGCCTAGTGACTGAGCTACATAGCTCTGGACTATCATTGATAGCATTGGTTAATTAATGGGGTGAAGGTGGGCCATGCTTTGGATTCCAATACAGTCCCAACCTGTGGAGTATTGGGACCAGCCCTTCCTCCCCTAGAGCAGCTCAAAAACTTGAAGAACCCTACACAGGAGCCATTTTCAGCTCTCAGAGCAGAGCACTCCCTTGGACCTGGTCCTGTCTGCGCGCCACCATGGTTGGAAGATTTATCAGATGATTTATTCTGTTCCTCTGTCCCAGGCACAAGCCCATCCTGAGACGGTGTAACCGAGGGAGGAAAGGGTTAAATCGGGCCAGGTGAACTCATCCCAGGGGCAGCCACCAGGTGGCATGGTTATATGGTCTTCCCAGTTTCTTTTTTCAGGGCCTGTCTACACTGGGGCACACAAGAAAACTAATCTGAATTAACTTCCAGGTGAATGGATTGGATTGCATTAAAACCTTGTGTGGACCTTCTTATGCAGAATGAAAGTGGCCTCCATTTGCTCAAGCTCATTTCCATTCTAGAGCAAATTGAACTAAAACTACTTTAATTCTGTCCACACTGGGATTTAATGTAGTTTAAAGCCAGACCTTTAAGTAATTCAGATTAACATTTCCTGAGGTTCCCGTGCAGATAAAAACCTATATAAGGTTTTCTCTACACTTAGTGTGAGAGTAAGTTTTCAGTGTTAGGCAAATCATGCTGGGTTGCTAGCTCTTAGTTATATAAATGTTTGATGGGCAGGGAAGGCAGCAGGACAGTTTGTTCTCTGCCCTGCATCAGTGCTGGAAAGAGCGTTACTCCCTCGGAGCTGTGCATTGGTACTTGGCTGAGATCCCTGGAAGATGGTCTGTTTGCATGCCTTCTGTGCTGTTTGTAACCATCTCTGTGCCATGAGCAGTGTGTGTTAATAAAGCAAATTGGGCTTAAAATATGCTCATGTTGCCAACTTCTTCACCACTGGAAAGCTCACCTGAAAGGTGATACTGGTATTTGCTTCCATGTGGCAGGGAACAGATTGGGGCGGGGGGGGCAATGGGGCCAGCAGTAGACCATCAGTCTGAAGGATGTAACGCACATAAATAGAAAACAGATAAAGTTCTTTAGAGGAGGATTTGGGGCAGAGAGAGGTTGAGGGCCCATTAATGTTGGAACTAACATGAGCAATGGCCTAGAAGAGAATATGCCTCTGCTGAGCCAACACCCTCTGTAGTGCAGTGATCCCTAGTACTGCCTTGGGGCCAGCTTTGACAGTACTCTAACCCCATGCATTCAAACATCTTGAGACGTTCTAATATAATTGCGCAAGGGTAGTACTTACCTTTCTATAGTGTGAGGGGGCTGAGCTCAGACCAGGTGGGTAAGAATCATTTCATCCCCCTCTCCCAGCCAGATCTCAATTATCCCCACTGCCCCCTGTTATCCCCCCAGGCACTGCAAAGTCCTGACCAGCATGGGCAACCCTAGTGCAGACAGGTTGCTGATGCACTGAGTCTCATACTCATTAAACTTGCTCCAGCTGGGACTTCCAGGCACCCATTTAGTGCTGAGAGCCCAGAAAATGCAAATAGGGTTGCAGGAATGAGCTGGGCCCTATCCCCCACTGACCAGCCTTCCCTGCACAGAGCTGGCTCCCAGCTAAGCTCAGCCCAGTTCTACTGGAAGGTCCGAGGCCTGTCTGCAGGTTAGTGCTCTGGAGGGAAGATGGCCTTAAAAGACAAATGTGCCCTCAGCCTACAGGTGGGGTGACTGGCCTACAGCCACAGTAGCTGGCAACTCCCTGCTCCTGTCCTAGCCCTGCAGGCAGGTGAAAGGTTTAGGGCCTCCAGTTCTTCCCCAGCTGGTGGGGTAGGAGCTGAGTGCAGCTTTCCCTATAATTGACCTGCTCTAGGGGGATAACAATGGCAGCACTTCTGCAAGGGCAACTTTGTGTCATATTACACAAATGCATACATGCTTTGGGCTTACTTGTAAGAGCCATCCCCACTTACCAGCCCCAGACTTGAGTGAATGGCCTCAGGGGGCCAGGTCCAGAGGGGCTGCCCCAGGGAGGCATGAAGGGCATCCCAAGAGCATCTGGCAAAGCCTGAGTAGTTACAGGGTATTTAGGAGGAATGGGGCCAGCAGGAGAGTTGGGCATCCATGGGACAAGGGCTGTGCTGCCTGGGAGACTGGGTAGGCCTCCAGCAGAGAAAACACCACAGGCAGGAGGATCAGCTCAGCCTAGTCTCCTTGGTACAGCGTGGATACTGGAGGGAGAGGGGAAGAAGGGCATTGTCAGGGGCGGTGGCTCACAGGTGGTCAGCTGGCCAAGGGATGCAAGGGGAAGAGACACTCTGGGTTAGATCAGCCTGGACAGAAGCAGAAAGATGCATCTAAGCTAGATGGGACTGACAAGCTGCTGTGGTCTGGGCAGCAAATCAGGATCAGAGACCCCAGAGTGCCTGGGGCTTAGCAGCACCGGCATGGGGGAGGGTATCCCTCCAAAGTGTGGGGCACTGGAGGAAACCAGTCTCCACCATGCCTGCTGCTGCCCCTCTGGAAAGATCCTCCAGGCTGGGAGACAGAGCTTGGGGGCTCTAAGAGCCCCAGGGGACTGGAGACAGGTGCTGGGGCTCCCTTGTAGACAGTGGATCTGGAGGAGAGAGGCCACTGACAGTGCCTCTTGAGTTTTCAGCAGATCCTGGATCCTTCTGCCTCTCCATCTTCCTTCTCTTCTGGATCTGTCTTTGGCCCCTGGCAGCCCAGGTGTGAATAATGCTTCATGGACCCACCTCCTTTCACACGGCTTTTTATTGGGGAGGGACTACTTTGTCCACCCGCCTCAAGCTGCTGCTGGTTAGAGGCAGCGGAAGGACAATAGAGGTGGGAGGTGTCACAAGGTCTCTGGGCCAGGCTGACTGAAGGACAGGCCCACCCCGGCACCTGTCCTTGGGCTCCATGGAGACACCAACGATGGACTCCCACCCTCCTCCAGCCGTCTTGGCTCAGGGTCTCTGCCCCCTTTAAGACAGCACAAACTTCCAGCTGCTCCTCCTCTCAGTTGATGATGTCATCACCTGCTAGTGACCTCATCAACTCTTGCTCTCACCATGATGAGTGGGGGAGGCAGCAGGAGCATGTGCACTTTTAGAGCGGCAGAGACACCAAACCAGTTTCCAATACAGACCCGTTCTCCTCTGCTTGGTTGTTTTGGTGCTGTCACAGGGGACACTAGGTGTACTAGCTGGTTATTGGAGTTGTCAATTTGTTACTGTAGGGTCACTTAGGTGGCATACATGGACTTGGTATTGTTGGGTCCCTTAAGGGTTGTTACTGTAGGATCACACAAGGCATGAGTTGTTATTCTAGTCATCGGGGAAGTCTGTGATCGTTTGTTACTGTAGGGCTACTTTAGGGCACTAGTTCATTACCTGACAGTCAGCTGGGGGTGCTGGTGCTGCAACCACTAGTTGGTTATTGTAGGGTCACTAAGACAGCATGTGTTGGTTTCTTATTGTAATGTCCCAATAGAGAACAGTTTTGCTACCGTATAGTTACTGAGGATGTGGGGGCTGGCTTGTTAGTGAGGGTCACTCAGGCTTGTAGTTCATTATTGTAGGGTCACTCCAGCTGCGTGCATTCATTTTTTAATTGCACTGGGGCTGTCCACTCTGTGCTTTGTAGGGACACACACACTAGTTTTTGCTGTTGCCCCATCCTTCAGGCCACTGGGACTGGTAGCACTGGGCTGTTATCACTGGATTGCTCTGGCACTCTGCAGTTGGCCTGTTATATCCAGGTTGCACTGGCACTGGGTTTTTACTGCAGGGTCACTCTGGAGCCCTGTTATTGCTCTAGGATACGCCTACTGGTTAGCATGCCCTTTAGCACTCCTGAGTGCTGGTTTTTTTTATTGCAGGCTCATGCTGGGCACTAGGTGTGCTGGTTTGTTTATATAGGGTCTCTCATGGGCACTGGGGCTGAACAAGCTGGCTTATTTGCAGGGTTGCTCTGAAGTCCCTGATACTGCCCTGGACAGTGCTGGCTCCTCTGGGTGTCAAGGGGCACACGTTCATGCCAGGCTGTCTCTCCGGCTGGCTGAACTAGGATCGCCAGCTCCTGGGGTTATCCAGCATCCCAGCTTGGGTTGTTCTGGAGGCTGAGGAGAGGTGCAGGGGGTGGTTAGTGGGGTCAAAGCTGGGACACAGTGTGGGCTCCTTTGGTAGAGCAGGGCATAGACAAACATGGGGAAAGCTGCACACAGGGCAGTTAGTGTGTGTAGGTAGGCTAATGAGCATAGGGGGCTTTGCATATCGTGGCAATGAGCCTGGGGCTTTGGGTGGGCTGTTACTGTACGGTCACTGGCAGCCTGAAGTCTCCACACCTGAAGACTCCAAGCCCACACCCCAAACCTCCAACCAGGGCCACATGAAGCTCGTATCCCGGGCTGGTGCAGGAGGGTCTGTGCCCCACAAGCCCATCTCAGAGCTGTCAGGCATGGTCTCCATGGCACCCAGGAGCCAACAGAGGAACAGATGTGACTGGGGCAGGTAGCAGTGACAGAGGTGATTATGGACAGGGAAGGACTCCCTGCTGAGGAGGTTGCTCCTGAGGGTGGGACAGGGCAACTGGGAGTTAGGGGGACCTGATGGGGGAGCAGGATGCATGTTGTGTGGCTGCAATCCCACCAGCCAAACACCACCGCCCAGGGGCTGGGGGAGAGATGATAGGCTATTAGGTGGTAGGGGAGAGCCACATAACACAAGCCATGGGGCCCTCACCGTGGGGGAGAGGAGGGGAGAGACACTGGGGATGGAGGGTCAGGGGCTCATAAGGGCCTTGCTGTGGCCTGGCCCTGCCCCCCATCCCCAGGGGCTCCCCAGGGGCTATTTGAAGTGGGAGAGGAAGTGGGCCACTGGGTACTGGGGCGAGTCAATGCCCAGGGCCTGGCAGATGCTTAGCACCTTGAGGCAGGCCTCGTGGCGGCTGGGGCCACCACAGGCCACATTGCAGTAGGGCTCCTCATACTCTCTGGAGATGAGCTTGTCATCCAGAAGGTTGAGGCGAACAACACCGCCCTCGTGCAGGGCCTGCAGCGTCTCCAGACTGGCAGTGGACTTGAGAGCCTGCATGTGCTGTGACACCACGCACATGACTCCCACCAGGTGAGTGCGGGGCTGGGGCCAAGTGGGCAGCAGCGGTGCCACGCCACATGCTACCATGACTGCAGCCAGCATGATATCCACGCCGAAGACCTCACGGATCCAGTCGCGCAGGTAGAAGCCACCCATGCGGGGGTTGATCTCGATGAGCTTGGGCCCAGCTGCTGTCAGCTTGAGCTCCACATTGAAGACACCATCAGTGAGGCCGCAACCGAGGCAGCACTGGTAGGCAGCGCGCACCAGCTGGGCCTCACGGTCAGATGGCAGGCAGGTAGGCATGCTGGCTGCTGTCTCTGTGAAGCAGGGCACACGTGTGGGCCCGTTGTCGGACACAAAGGCAGCCAACATACGCCCCTCAAAGATGACCAGGTCAACATCATGCTCTGTGCCTGACACGTACTCCATGAGCAGCATGGCATTGCCCCAGCCCAGCCCAATGCCCGGGTGGTCGGTGTCTTCCCGCAGATCCTGGGAGATCTTCTCAAAGTGCAGGTGGCACTGCTGGGCATCCTCCACCAACTTGACACCCACAGCACCTGCCCCATACTCCAGCTTCATGACACCTGGGAAGGACAGGTGGTGGGCGGCTCGCTCCACATCAGCCTGGCTCTCCAGATGCCAGCAGGGCACGGCATAGACGGCAGTGGAGGGCCAGCCCCGAGGGGCATCTTTGCGCCGGCGCAGCAGGTGCTGATGGGTGCGGCTCTTCTGCTTGGCCACCCGCATGGCAGCTGTGGGGCTGCAGCGCAGGCCCAGCTGCTCGCACACCAGAGCCGTCAGTACCATGCAGTCATCCCAGTAGGAGAGGCAGCCATCAAGGTGCAGGCCCCGCTCCTGCACTAGCTCTACCACACGCTGGGCGTGCTCCTCATCCCGTTTGTGGTCCGTGCTGTCGTAGTGGATGAAGGTCTGCACCAGCTGGGAGGCAAAGTGGTTGGGATCCGACTCCACCAGGTGGATCTGGAGCAAAGATGGGGTGGGGGAGGGAAGGGGGTACAGAGACAGGAGGGTAGAGGGAGAAACATAGACACACACACATGCGTGCACGCACGCGCGCACACACACACACACAAGAGAAGTGGGAAGATGCAAAGAGGAGGGGGAGATCAAGCAGGGGTCACTAACATGGAGGTGGGAAAGCCCCCCCCCCTCCCCCTCCTTGCTGGCACTACAAAATGGGATGGTCCTTGAACATCCACATCCCACTGTGTGCGTATTTTGTGGCAAAGGGAGGAATAATGGAGCATTTCCCTCCCAGCTGTCCTCCAGGCATGGGGCAGATAGCAGAGTCAACAGCCTGGCCTTGTGCATCACCCCATCATGCAATGGGGATGGAAGGATCCATGTGCCAAGCAATCCATGCATGTCCCCGCCCAGTGATGAAGGTGGGGGGAGGAGAATTGAGCAATCCACATACTGTGGGCACCACAGGCACCACTGCCGGGGAGGATGGGATAGTCCAAGCCATGGGTCCATTTGTGGCTGGATTCCAAGAGTGGGGAAGTGGAATGTGACACACTGGTGTTGCAGGAGGAGACTGGAATGACCCACTTGTGGCCAGAGAAGGGAGGAAAATGGAAAACCCGGGATGGGTGGGGGGAATCAAAGGGCTCACTTGGGCCACAGACCCACATGGGGAGACCCCTTGTTCTGTGCGGCACTCCTGGCCCTCAGTGGGGAGGTGACAGCCTGTTCCATGAAAGCTGTTCCATGAAAGGGGTGGGGGGCGGTCATGTGGCAGTCCACTCAAGCCCACACCTTAGAGGAGTGGAGGGACCCCCACAGCGTGCTACCCACAGCTGGCACAGTGGGGTCAAAGGCCACAGGGCTGCCGGGAGTGGCTGCTAGCCCCCACCCCTCTGAGCTGAGCCCACTTGCTTGGGTCCCATGCTGGGGCTTTGGCTCTTGGTCCTGATGGAGCTGCGAGCCGGCCCTATGAAGGTGTGCTAATTCTCTCCAATAATTGCAAGGCCAATGTGCGTTGATTCTGGAGTACAATGACAGTGGTATCATGGGGCTGATGCTCTGATAGCCCAGCAATGGGGAGTCTGTACGTTGCTCCCCGCTGCACTGGGTTGTTCACTCTGGTTACTAGCACTCTCACCATTCTTAATTCTTGGTGCTTATGCTTTGGCAAAAATACCCTGCCACTCCAGGATTGCAGTTGCAGGAGAGGTAGCATTTTGTCACCTCTACCCCATTCCTGTGGTGCTGGAGATGAGCCAGGCCAAAAGTCACTACGCCCAACAGGAAAAGTGAAGCTAGGTCTGGGACACAGACCATTCCATTACGGTTTGTCACAGTGCAGCATCCCAAAGCTATGAGTAGTGGGAGCCCCACGGAGGTCCCCAAGGCCTGGTTCTCCATTCTGCCTGGAGTCAAGCACTCATGTCCCTTCCCTAAATCCCTTCCCACCACTCCTGCCCTGTCTGTCCTCCGTCCTTCCAGCTCCTAAATCCCTATCTCAGCAGTATTTTCTCCCTCCTCCCCACATGCCAAGATAGCTCCAAAGCCCACTGAGGTACAAGCAGTGGGCAACATGATGGGCAATCAGCAGGTGCAGCCAGGGCCAAGACTGTGTAACCCTTCCCAGCAATTTAAAAAGAGCCACAGTTCTCAAGTCAAATTCCTGGCTGGCAGAGGGAAAGCATGCATGTGCCAGTTACCCAGGGCTGAGCGCCAGACTGGGGCTGATGGGAGGGAAGACGTTAGGGGCAGAGTTAAGGGTATTTTCCATTATGGGTGTTTTTGATTTATCCTCTTGCCTGTTCCCATCCCCCTTAATAGTAGAGGGATCTGAGCTGTGACAGAGATGAAGCAACCCCCTGCACAGATGAGCAACCATGGATAATGCAGCTAATGCTTCAGGCTTTTCCTTCCCAGGGCAGGGGCAGGGCCAGGCTGTTCAGGTCCAGGTGGCCTGGGAAAGCTGGAGCCTCAGGGAGCCCCACTTGCCCCCTGCATCTACCCCAGGTCCCTCGGAGCCTTGCCCAGACCCAAGGTCAGGAGAAATGAGGAAGATGCTCACCCTGGGAGAAACAGTTTCCCTTTGAGCCAGAACTTGGGCTGTGCTAAGGCAGCCCTGCTGTGAGAGATTAGGGGAAAGGGGGGTTTCTATCCAGCTGGGATGTGGGAGAGGAGGCATCCCCATGGCTGGGATGCAGGGAGGAGCCTCCACAGCAGCCATCCACCTCCACTCTCCCCTGTTGCAGGCCATGTCACGCTGGCAGGGTCCCTCTGGGAGCTGCTATGGCGAGCCATGTCCCTTGGCCCTTCTCCGTGCTGGGGGTAATAATGGGGGCGAGGGCTGCGCCGGGCAGCCTAGGGCCGGGTTTCCGCATCTTACTTTTAGCCCGTACTCCCTGGCCGCCTCCCAGACGAATTTTTTGCTGACTCCTCCAGCCCCGATCACCAGCACGTGCTTGCCCTCCATGAGGTGGCACTGCGCACGCCGCAACATTGTCTCCACCAGGGGTTGGGACGACCCCCTCGGCACCCCCACTGCCTGGCCCATGGACTCAAAGAGAGCACAGGTCTCAAGGCACAGCTGGGAGTTCATCTCCAGGGCCACCAGCTGCAGCACCTCTTCTGACGAGGTCAGCAGAAAATCCACACCTGCAAGAGAAATGGTGGCATCAAGGCAACAGTCACGAGTGTATGTGAAATGGTGGCACATGGCACAGAGGTGGGACCCCTCCCCGGCCCCTGGTGAGAGACACTGCTGGGGAACAGGAGGGCTTGATCCATTAAGCAAATTAATACACTCTGACTCACTATGGAACTCTCAAGGAATTGGAAGATGAAGTAGCTGAGCTGCTCTTAAAATACATACCCTTGACATCTGGTTGCTGCACCAGAAAGAAGTCAGCACTCTACAAAACAAAAAGGATCCTGGTAATGTAGCCCTGAGAGGCTATCCCAGGAGAAATGGATTGGAATGATAATTAAAAGCAGAATGATAAAATTAGATTTTATCATAGCAAGAACATCAACTTCTGCAAAGGAAAAAAAAATGCCATGCTAATCTAGTAGAATTCCTTGTATGCATCTACAAAAAAGGTCCAACAAAAACTGACTGAGGTAATTTACTTGGACGTTCCAAAGAATTTTGAAAAAAACCCTTGAAAAAGGAAAAAAATAAATACTCATGAGAGGCAAAGCATCATGGTGGTTCAAGATACTGGCTTGGAGATAGTGAGAGAAGGAGTAGGAAGAAATAGCATAAGGGTGCCATGAGGTTCCATATTACGGTTGTTTAGTTACTGTAGTGTTGAAAGGTGGAAAGCCATCAAGGTGTCCTTGCTCCACATTATGCAGAGACCTTGGTAAAAACAGTGGCTGTGCCAAGCACTTCTAGGAACGGAGAAACAATTAAGCCCGCCTGTTTGTAGCCATCTCCATCTGATAAAGAAGGGGTCATCCAAGGTCCATGGCAAGTGAAAGCTAGAGTGTGAGCACAAGTGGTTCCCTGCTTGCAAATGCAGGGACTAGGGGACTGGTTTTGCAGCCTGTAGGCTGTTACAGGCAGAAACCTAGAGGTGTAAATAGACAACTCATTTGACGTGGGTTTGACCCAGATCTAAACAGGCACAGCATCGTCATTCACAGGTCATCCTTCCAAGCTGCACTGTTGCTCTTCTGCTAGTAGGAAGCCAGTAAGAGCATGCACCCTGGCTGGCCTGCCTGTGCAATGAGCCACAACAGCTTTACAGACACACACAGCCATGTCCTGGGAGAAAGCCTTAGCACATTTTATCCTGCGTACTTCAGAGGGACCTGAAGCAGGGCAAGGGACTTGTAGGATCCCACAAGCAGACTTTCTATTACTGGGACAACTGCCATGTCTATTTACAGCATAAGAGAAGGAGTTGTGAAGAAGACTCAGAGGAAGCAGAGAGACAGAGCTTCTCGGACACAAGGCTCACTGAAATGGCAGACATGGGGATTTCTGAAAAGGAAAGAGCCTGCTGCTAATTTGCTTCTTCTGTGTCCAGTAGAACAGGACTTTGTTTCCATTCTTAGTAAATAAACAAAGTTACATCAGAATGCACCAAACCTACCAATTTCTCATCCAAAATTAAACAACCCCATAAGGCCTTGAATACTGACTAATTGTTTGGGACAAAGGACAAATGGAATGAGGTAGAACAGGGAGATAGCATCTTGGGGAGCAATATTCACTGAAGACTCCCAGGGCCAGATCCTACGCCACCTATTCGATGCCTAAGCACAATCCTATTCCACCCTGCTGAAAACACGTTAATGTGCCTATCTTTGTAACATGCCAACAACTCAGTCAAAAAACTAAATCGATAAATGTAGGGAACAGGAGAAGAACCCCTCCACTTCTTGAATTAACTATTTTTTAAGGACTCAAGGAGGGTGGAATATGAACACACTTGGGCACCTAACAGATGGAACTGGCTCTGGCCCCAGCTTCCTTTGGTTAGTTCAGAGCAAGGACAACAGTGAAGAACTATGAAGGAACAGAAGCAACCTTGGACAACAGGCAGCTGCCTTACAACAGATGGATATGTTCAACCATAGATGCAGTGGAATGCATTTGTGATGCTCTTTACCTAAGGTAACTACAAGCACTTAGGAAAGACACCTGGAGCAATGTTGTGGCTAGCTGGCAAGAAAAAAATCTGCTCCTTATATGGCTACAGCAGTGATTCTCAACCTTTTTAGACTCCAGTAACCCCTCAGTAGACTCAAAACACCCTTCAGAAAAGGTCAGCTCTTAGTTTTCATTTGTTTTTTGACTATGGAAAAATAATGAGCGATTCTTCAGTTACAAAGAACTCAGAAAGCCCACACCAGATCAGAATGTTTTTAATGGGCTCCAATTTGAACTCTCTGGCTTTATTTTGCAAATCACGTGTAGGTATTTGCACACCCTGGCTGAGAATTGCTGGGCTACTATCAAACAAGCCCCTGAAGCTATCAGAGTATATGAGGAATAAGATGGAGACTATGAATATATGTCTATAGTCAATGGCATGGTCTCCCACGATGTGCAATACCAGCTAAGCCATCAGTGGTGGGGTAGGAGGTGGCATTCATAGGTGGTGACAACCATGGCCAAATAATTGGAAAAGCTCTCAAGAGACTGTGGAAAGGAGGGGGAGCACAGTAAATAATGAATGCAGTACAGATGGTGAATCTGGGATCATCCCTTCCTTTTCTCTCATTATAAACACACAAAGGAGACTAAAAATGGCCAGTCCATAACAGATGAAGGACATGATGTCCCCTATGGGACTCCTTGCTAAAAGATCTCACTGAGATCAAGAACTCAGCAGAATGTTTAGAAGGATAACTGGGCATTTGTACAATACTACCTTGCTCTCTGACAGCTTTTCCTTGGGTTTCTATAAAGGCGGCCAATGACTGTCTTATACAGGTAGAGAAAGCAGGGCAGAGGATGAAGAAGTGAGTTATCCCTGCTCTCCTGACAGGCTAGCAGCAGAGCTGGGAACTGAACTCAGATCCCCAGAGACCTAGTGCAGTGCCTATCCACAAAGACACATTACCTGAAGATACCTATAGATTTTGCAACCCTCTAGAGCTACATTAAAGGGGAAATACTACAGTTCAGCTTTGAGGTGCCACTGGTGGACAGGGCTGGGGGAGCAACCTTCCCTGGGGGCAGCTTATTTCAGAGTTGCCCAGTAAGGGGCAGCTTGCACCTTCTCCTGAAGCAGCAGGTCCTGGCACTGCTGGAGAAAAGATAATGGGTTAGATGGATCCCCATGTCCAGCTGGCTGATTCTAAAGCACCCCATCAATCTGTGATGTCCTCTAAATGGTCAGGGGACGAGTGACAGGGCAGCTCACCAATCACATCGGTCTGGGTCCTACGGCCCCCCCGTTGTTCCACCGAGAGCTCTGCCTCCATTTCCATGAAGGCCCTCATGGCAGCCTCGGCCTTCTGCTTGATCTGGGCACGGATGGCTGTTATTTGGGCCTCGTCTGTCATGCCCCACTCCTGCAGGCTGCTCTCCAAGGTCTGGGGCACTGTTGCTTGGTGCTTCAGGGGCTTATCAGCCCGCCCCATGCCACACACCACCTGGGGAGGGAGAGGGGGACAAAACCCAAAGCCATAAAAACCTATGCCTCTCCACCACTGACCATGCCCAGTGCTCCTGTGATGTCATCAAACCGAATGACTTCACAGCTACCCAATTTGATGCTTTGCTTGCCTCACCCTTCCAGGACCCTGACTGGCTGCAGCTCTTTCCTCCCACTCAGGAAGTGGGATGTATCATATACACAGATGAGGGGGAAGGGAAAGGAGCTGTATTAACCGAACAGCGGGGGCAAGTGCAAGACCAATGATACTCATCCTGGTGCCCTTGACAGATAAACCAGAGATAGCAGAGCAAAGAGGCATAAACAGCCCCTCCCGCTAACTGGCTTGGGTGCAATGGTCACCTCAGATCCCAAGCAGCAGGAAGCAGTGGGATTATTGTCCATCACATTACACATTCTTGACCAAGTTGTGGGGAAGACCCTGGATCCTGTTCTCCAACTCTCTGCACCAGCCACTTGCCCTGCCCTGGGTCCAACTCAGAGCTGGCACACCCCAGAGAGCAAAAGCTGCATACATCA